TGTGACTTCTGTTTAAGGAATATATCCCGTCTTACCACCGCTCTCTGTCACTGCAGCTTGTGAAGAGACCTTGATCAGCTCATACGTTGTCACAAAGAATGGAGCCATGGACCTCTTCTGCTTCCTGGTGGGATTAGGGGGCTGAACCTTGCAGTCTTCTTTTACCTGTACACTAATTCTTTCTTCAACTTGGTTGATGCTTTTTCTTGAAATCTTACTCATCTTCTTTATGAAGGTGAGCACTGAAATCATCTTCATGTCTCCTTCCGAGGTATTTTCTTTTGTGTCAACAGTGTTCAGAATCCTTGATCTTAATTCTGGGTTTCTTATCCCAAAGCCAAAGTGACATCTAAAGAGCTTCTTGTGGACAGTTACGCAATCAACAGGAAACCAAAAGGTTTTTAGACTGGCTAGAAATTCAGAGACATTTTCTCCTTCCATTTCGTTTCTTAGATGGGAAATACATAAATATTTTCTCAGCTAGAAATTTGGTTTTGGTACTTAATGGTTTTAAAGCACCGCTATTAATTCTTTATTTTCCATCTCACCTGGTTCCTGTGGAAAACATAAGCCTTTAAACACTGCAAATGTCACTTTCCCCCATTAGTGTTAGAATTTTTTTTTTTTTCCTGGCCACTACTTCTTATAGCATTTCCAGTAAAATCTGGTCACATCACTGTGCATACATTTAAATTTTTTTCTTCTTTAGTATTACATCTTTTATTTCTCCATTACCGTTTATTTTTATAATTTTAACTTCTTTTTAACCAAAGAAAACTCTTCCACTGTCTAAACTAAGTGTCATTAAAGACCTTACTCTCATCAAGATACGCCACGTTACTTCCATTTGCAAAGAGGAATGGGCTACTGAGCACTTCTGCTGTAGGCTGCACAAAGGAGACAGGGCAGGAGTGGCCTCCCCGTGCCGGAGCAGACGGCGCGTCCCTCCCGGTGGCACAGTGCCTCCACGGAGGCACAGCACCTCCACAGACAGCAGGCACCCTCCAGACAGTACGCTGGGGTTCTCAAAGTCATAACTGGCATGTTGCTAAATGCACCACAGAACGCAATGCTCCCGAATTCTGCCTAAACTTGACTCTGCACGGGCCCCAACTCAAATAATTCTGTGTTTGGTAACTGAAGCTGACTTTGAAAATATTCTCCATGGAAGAGACAGCGAATGGCAAAGTTTAAAATAACTCTTGAATATTAAATCTTGCTCTTATCAAGATCTTGTCTTCTGTACTCCTCTTTTAATCCTCTCCAAAGCTTTCAAATAGGTTCTCCTTTGAGAAACGACCAAACACGCAACAGTTCAGGAAGACCGCTTGTCTTTTGATGGAATGGGGGAAGACCAAAGAGCGGGAAGAGGAGGGGCAACGTTATTCTTACAGTGCAAGCTCGGAGGTTCGGACGGCCCCGTGCAAAGCCTTACCTCTGCTGCGTACTTCATCCCATCCACCGCGTGCTCTGAGCCGGCCTCATCGTTGGAGCCCCAGTGGAAGTGAATCTGGCGCAGCCTGTAGGTCCCACAGAGCGGCCCCCCAGTCAGCACTGAAAACCCAAGCAGAGGAAAAGGCTTCACTGCAGGAACAGGAGCTGCAGCCCACATCTCCTCACCTCACACCAGACTTTAGTCTTTGGACAGTCCCCTACTCCTTCTCAAAAGCTGTCTCAAATGGCTTCCCATCTCTCTGAAGTACTACATAAACTCTCACTGGTCGAGGATATGACTTTCAAAATTACATTTATGTGCAGAGCAGTGGATTATGGCCCACTACAGGGTATGTTGTTATCACCAGGTTTGTCTTGCTATGGGTTGGATAATTATCAGAAGATGGGAAAATGTTTCTATTTTGCAAGTGACTTCCTCTCCTGAATGTATTTAAAAGAATCACTGAGAAATTAAGCTTAAGTTAAGCTTTTATGAATAAAGAGGAGGATCAGAAAAATATAATGTGAACTAATTTTCTTTTCCTCTTTCAAATTTGGAGGAAAGTAGATGGAACTTTCAAGGCTCTCTTTCCTTCATTTCCAACTAGAACAAATTACATCAGATCGAAGTCCAAGGGAAAAAAAAGCATATTTTAACATAAATAAAATTAAACCAACACTACATATTCATTGTAGAACTGCAATAGTACTGATACTTAATTAGCAAGGGCTGGAAGGAATGTTCTGTGAGGAGCAGTGGAGGACTCTTGGGTTTGTGTAGTTTGGACACAAGGAGGCTGAGGAGCAACTTGTTCTCTACAGATTCCTGAGGAGGGGAAGCAAAGAGGGAGGTGCTGAGCACTTCTCTGGTATCCAGGGACAGGACTCATGGGAACGGCTCAAAGATGTGCCAAGGGAGGTTTAGACTGGGTGTTAGGAAGCATTTATTTACTAAGAAGGTGGCCAACACTGGAACAGGCTTCCTTAGAGAGGTGGTTGATGCCCCAAGCCTGCCAGTGTTTAAGAGGCCTTTGGATAATTCTCTTAACAACAAACAATAACTTTTGGTCAACCCTGATAGGGATAGGCCATTGGACAAGATGATCATTGTAGGTCCCTTACAACTGAAACAGTTTATTATTCTAGTCTAGTCTATATGCAAATGGGTGAGCTTTTCATTGTTTTGCTTATGTAAGCACTTGTCTTTTGCTGACCAGAGTTGCAGTCAAACCATCTCTCCTGGCTCCATATCTCCTCTAACGGTTTGGGAATTAGTCTGGGCTAGTTTACTGGGTCATTATAGAGATTAACGGGAAAGAATGGGAGCTTTAAGGAAAGGTTTTTTAAACTAAGAGCACTGGGTAGGCCAATAACTTTTTCTCTCTTCTAGGTTTAGTCCGAAACCTAAACTAAATACACCAAACAAAGAAAAAAGAAGACATTCTTAAGTTGCCTATCTGCTAATACAAGTAACCTGGCTAATGAAAGGGAGCTGTAAGTGTTTACCAGTGGGGAAAAATATTTGAGCTCTTAAAACTTCAACTCAAACCCATGCTTTTACAGAGCCTATAAACCTAGAAAACAAAGGGAAATGGCACTCCTAAAACAAATTTCTTCTTTCAAGGACTGAAAACTTGGAGAAAAATGATCCTAGAAACATGGAAAGATCAGTGTTCTAACTGGCTGGGGGGAAACATTTACACAGAAATGCATCAGCATTCAATGAAAAACTTCTGCTGAAAAATGTGGAAAACAGCCTGATGATGTATTTGTGCCACATCATACAGTGATGGTAAAACCCTTCCATTCCAGGAAGAGGTTTAGTCAGAAGCTAGTAAAAGCAAATACCATTATCTCAAAGCTTGAAAAGAGCTTGACAAAGTATTTGAAACAGCAATAGACCTATCTCAGTGAACGGAGCTAATGTGGTACCAAAGAGGATAAACAAAATTGCACACTTAGATTTGACAGCCCAGTTTCTGTGCTGGCCAAAGTGAATAAATAGTTCATATGGAAGTCAGATAATGCATTAAAAGATGATAATGTATTTAGTACCAATTAATTTTTTTTTTTCCCCCAATAAAACCAAAATATGGCAGGAGTGCTTACTTCACCGGGGTGCCCCAGAGGCCATATTTTGGCCCTAGAAAATTCAGTATTTTTTGATCAATGACCTGAAAGAAAACAAAAACATTACTGATAAAGTTTGTCCGTGACAAATATTAGAGAAAATAGTTAATAACTCAGTTTCTGGATACAGAAGGATTTGGATTCTTTGATAAATAAGGCATGATAATGACAAAAAAGTAAAGCCACATATATGGACTGAAGAATCTAGTCCATACATAGAAGATACAGAGTCTCCTGAAGGAAACTGAGGGTTACATTTACTAATTATCTGATCAACATCTGTCAGTGCTTTACCATGACATAAATTATATCTTAGAGATACTGCCTGCAGAAAGCAGTAAGAAGAGGATCACATTAGCACTGCTTTGATACCAGTGTAAGCCTACAGAAATACTGTGTTCAGGCCCTGTCAATTCATGGATGGAGTCAGGAAGTGTAAGATACTCTTGGTGTATTCATATATGTATTTATTACTTTAAAAAAAAAAAAAAAATAAAGAGTTTAAAGTCTGAGCTGACCTAACTCACACCGGAAACAAAGTGTGATTTAAATTTTTATAATTGTGAGGGTAGTTAACAATTAGAACAACTTACCAAAGGCTGCAGTAGGTTCATCATCGCTGGAAATTTTGAAATCAAGACTCTATGTTTTTCTAAGAGATATGCTTTAGTTCACTCACATCTACCAGGCTTGAAGTAGAGATTAATTCTGGGAAGTCCCATGGCACCTGACACACGCAAGGTCAGCCCAGATCACTGGGGGTCAGCTGATGGCTTTCACGCAACATCCAGTGTTGCTTGTATCATCAGGAAATTTAAGAATTAAATTAAAACCGTCCAGGAAAGCAATGTACAATGATGTCTCCACCTATGTCTCTCCCTGCTGCCACTATAAACTAATATATCCTCAGAACTAACAGACAAGTTGATCACAAATTAGTCCTCCTCTAGCTTTGACCCTTATGAAAGCATCATACGGTCTTGGATCCTCAGCTAAGCCTCAAACAACCACAAGAGGACTTTATTGCTTGAAGAATCTCCACTCCCACTGTTTCACATGGAGGTGTGCTAGCGTGTCTACCATCCAAGACGAAGTTTTAAAGATGAAGGCACTAACCTTACAAAGCCTATGCTAAACCAGAGAACTTCTAAATAAGAATTATTGCTTTTAAAAAGGGAAGCTACATACTCCTAGAAAAGTCTGGGACAATAATACTTTGCAGAGAAGAAAAGGGATCGCTTCAGACACATTTCATTTGTTCTGCCTTGTCTCTCTCCTGACACAGGAGGTCCAGTATGGATTGTACAAAAGGAAAAAAATACATAACCAAACCTGCAGCTAAAGTCAGATAAGAGACTTGAGCGATCGGTTGGAATGAACCTGTAATGAGACACAAAGGATTCATCTGCAGTGAGAGAGAGCAGCATTTGAAAACGGTACATAACACTGTTCAAATAGGGGGAGTGGCACTATCTGGCTGGTTGGGGTGGATCAAACCATCCCTGTGAAAAGGGAATCCTAGCACTTTCTGAGAAGTGCAACCTTGAACTCATTTCCAAACATGTTCCCAATTGTATCACGCTGAAAGAAGGAGGAAAATGAAGTCTCACATCCAGAGGAGGAAATCCTTACTGTTTATGAGGAGCTCATGCCCAGCAGACACAGGCCCAGGCTGTGTGTACTCTGCTCAGGAAACAGTGGAAGAAGACACTGACTGTGCAATAGGAAAGAAACAAACCTGATTTGTTGACAGTGTCATCAAACTCAACACTGGTGGAGTGTCCGTTGTTAAGGATGATTTTAGCAGACGCTGGATCGTAATTGGGATTTAGAGGACGGAGAGAGGGATCATACTTGGTTTCCTCAGTTTTGATGTCAATGGGTGACTGTCGGTCTCCATTAGCGACAGGAAAAACCTCCTTCCAGTGGGCAGGCCCTGTAACACATTGGAGGAGAAGTCTCAGTTGAGGTCAGTGCCCTGCCTCACGTGAAAGAAAACTTGGCTTGAATTGTTCTTGCTTGCATCTTTTAAATCCAAAAAGGGTACATCAGAAAAAGACAGATCAAAATACTCATCTGCTTTTGTTGCACCACACTGCAACAGCAGCTCTCAGGATCCCTTTATCTTCCCTGCATAGTGTATCTGTCTTTGGCCTTTGAACAGGGCCTTGTGCAAAAGGTAGATATTTAATTATTCACAGTTAAGACTCAACCATGCACAAGACATATCCAACAAATGCTCCTTCAAATCAGGCATCCTGTATCCAACAGGCAACATTCTCCAATAAATTTTTGACATGTCATTTTTGACATGTCATTTTTGACTATTATCATGTCTTACATTTTTAAGAATTACCTCTTAGCTATCCTGCCTCTGTAAATCAACAATATGGATATGATAAAAATGGCAAATGCCATTCTAAAATAGCAACAAAAGCTTCACAAATGAGACATGTGAGGCATCTGTACTTATCTACTAAACATCAGTCTCCTCAGTAAGAATATGTGTGCCATTGTTGAACCACATTTGAATAATAAACAATGGGGAAAGAGGCCACAGAAGAAAATTGGGAACAGTAAGTTGCCTGGGGAATATGCTCCATAAGGTAAAGATAGCAAAGTTCAGGATGTAGAAAAAGAGGGTAGGGTAAAGAAAGAGGGAAGAGTCTGCAGGGCTAATGATCTTCCATTACTATAAAGAGCTCAGCACTTGCTTTCCCTCCAGGCTTATCATGGGTAAGAAGCATGATAATCAACTAACAGAGGCTGGATATAACAAAAATTTAAATACAAGCATCAGAAACTGACCCTGCAAAATCTGTGTCACTGGGAATCCTCATAACACCCTATACTGAAGGTAACTGATCTGAGTTTAAAAATCAGCCTGTTGGTTTGGGTCTTTCTGAATGGCTTAGCACTTAAATAAACATGACAGCAAAAAAGGATTAAAATGTACTACACTGTGTTTAATAGCCTAACATCAACATTGTCAGAGAGCTTTCTCTCCTCGACTTCAGCAGAAGTGAGCATGGCTCAGAAACTCGCAGGTGCCAGCACAACCCAAGCGCCCTGGCAACAAATGAGGGGAAGCAGCTCATGAAGGCACCTGCACAGACACTGACTCTCCTCTGGGCAGCACCGAGGAGTGGAAGAGGGAAAGACTAGCTTGTAAAGACCAGCTTAAGAATTAAACCTCAGGCAGAACAAAGGCAAGGGCCTTCAGTCTCAAGTTTGTTAAAGAGTCCTTTTGTTAATGACTTCATTAACTGAACTCATAAAGGAAATGGCCTCTGAGGCAGAAGATAAAAATCCTACTGGTTTGAAATATAAAACTGTTTAAACTTAATTCTTCTCACTTCACAAATGGTCATCAAAGCTATTCAATATTTTAATTACATACCGTTTTGCATATGATATAATTAAGAGGATTTAGATCCTAGCACCCTGCAGTTAACAATGCAATCCACAATTTTATGCATAAAAAGCATGACTCCGTCATTTATACCTAAATACTGTGATGTGAGAAGCTTAGAAAAAGCTTATTGCTACGTAATTTTAATGTTTCAGATATACCTTCACTGAGGAAAGGCAAAATATATTTATGTGCTTAACTACTTGGTTCTACTGCTCCATCTCAGAAATAACTATAGTTATTGTATGGTAAACAACACGAATTATTTGCATTCAGAAATACCAATGTGCCAAAAACAGGGTCCAAGGCTGTGATTCCGTCACTAGCTAATTATTCCACAATAAACTTCAGTTCTAAAAAGACATTGTACCTGCTTTTGTACTTGTGCTTAGCTCTGATGACCAAAATCAAGCTTTGCTATTGTGATTAACAACTACCAGTAACACAAGATTGCGAGAAATCTGACCTCTCAAAATATACAGGAAAATATCAAGGAACTTCATAGCAAATGCATGTCTTACAACCAGATTTAAGCCAACAGGCTCTCCAGGATGAAAGTTTCTCCTGAATGTGGACTTGAATTATGTATCTCCATCTCAACGTAATGTACACTTTCATTTTCCAGATATGTACTTTAAGACATATCCAGGGAAGTGTAACTCACTGATTCACTTCCCTTAATTTTTCAATTTACTGAAGGCACATGATTAAATATAACAATTTTTTAACTAAAGAAATTCCCTCCTGTTGATGGGAACATGTTCTGTTGCTAGAGGAGATTATCCAGTAGCTCTTAACAATCAAAGCCATTGCGACCAAGATTTAGCACAAAAAAACTGAACCGTCTTCTCTGGAGACTGACTGCACGCCTTTATTTTAGACACAGAATTACCAAATGCAATGCGTATGTCTGACACTTCTAGATCTAGATCAGACTATTGCTACCTACAGTACCCATCAGCATTGCACACATTCAGTTCATTAAATAACTCTCATAATGCAGGCAGTTACAAATTTGTGAGGAAACAGAACGCACTGCTGTCAGATGCTCTCCAGCTGGAGTTACAGATGATGGCTTTCACCAAAAATCCAGACTAACTTGAAACAAGCCCAGCAGAGACATCCCAGGACATGTTTCAGTTGCAGTGAGTCTCTATACTTGCATCAACATAGCATGGAGAGGTGAAACAGTGTGTTCTTTTGGACACTTTGTTATCATATTCAGAACCTTCATTAGTTTGGTGTGGTCTGACCTTGCCAGGGTCACGTCTTCTCAAAGAGACTCTATTGCCCAGCTTACCATACACAAAATGCTTGAATTTACGGAGTTACGTTTTGCAAGTAATACAGTTGCATATTAGATTACAACAAGATTAGCTCAAATAAAAACAACTGGAAATTCACAATGAGTAAAATTAAATGATGTTTTTTAAAGCAGACATCAAAATTATGTAATTATTTTCAGGGAGAAAAAAATAGTATGAAGAATTATGGTTGGACTTCATAGTCTTAATAGTCTTTTCCAACCTAAATGTTTCTATGATTCTATGAATTCATATCCCTTTTTACTTATAAAAGGCCTCAGTTTTAAAGTAGCAACTAGATCAAGAGACATTTTTGCAATAAAACGCAATACATGTAAGTACTTTCCACATATTTTCTAAACAGATAGTAAACTGAAGGCAATTGATTCTTGATTTGTCTAACTAAGGCAATTGCCCAGTTAACTGAAAGGACTCTTTCTGCAAAGAGGCAAGAATGTTCCTCTCCTCACCAGAGCCTCGAGCAGCAAAGCAAAGCATGGCTGAGGCCACACTGAAGCCAGTTTTCAAGATCTCACTATTACACCTCCACACATAAGCACCATCAAAACTGTGAAGCAAGAAAAGTGGCAAGAAAGCAAAGACCAAGGTTTGCATAGAAATAAAATAATGCCTCTTTGCATTTCAGAAACACACACATCAAAGCAGGGGAGAACATTTAATTCTGTCTGCAGCAGTCAGCCCATGTCTTTATATACAGATATATCATATATGCAGACATGTATGTGTAATACTTAACAATTCACACACATAATGATTCATGCTGTGGTTATTGTTGCTAAGGGGCAAATGAATTTTCCCTCGGTTTAAAGAAAAAAAAAACAAAACAAAAACAAACCAATGCAAAAACGCTTTTATCACTGCAAGTGACAAATGTAGAATTCAGAGTGAATGCAGATGTCTTTCCAGCTCTTTGGGAAGTCAACTTTAATATATGACTGCACCAGATTTAATTAATTTCATTTTATTTCTGCCTCATTAGCTGCAAAAGTTAATCTCATTTTCAGGGAAACTTTCCGGGGCCATGCAGGGCAACAAAATTTTTCAAGTATCAGAGCAATCTCCTGCATCAGCTATTCAGCCAAACAAGAAACAAGCAAAATCAATAACATAAATGCATAAAAAAGATGATAAATAAAACTGATGTGAGGGAAGAGCAGTGAAGTGTTGGAAATCTGGGCCTCTCTCCTTTAGACTCCTGTGAGAGGTGGGGGAAGGGGATGGACTGATGAGAAACTATCAGTCTCTCTGGTGGGGGCTCCAAGAATGAGAGAGTGAAAGCCAAACTCCACCCCAAATATGTTATCAGCCAGTAAACAGAGTTCTAAAAGAGAAATGGGGCCTCAAGCAAGGTCCAGGGCCCCCCTGATAGAAATTCTAGTGCCCTCCCCTCCCTAGAAGTTGAGAATAGCATAGGAGGAGGGATAGGATAAGGGACGGAAAGTGGGCTTATCTGCATGGTGCAGGTGAAGTCCAGAGCAGTCTTGGAAAACATACGGAGAAACAAATTTGAAAAACAAGCCCCATTTACGTCTTCAGGGGAGGGGCAGAGTAGGCTGCACAACAGTAGATAACACGCCTAATCATTGAAACATCGCTGCAATCCATCAGCACCTAGTTTTTCAGGAAAAGTAAATCCATCCAGAAAAGAGAGAGTAGAAGGACCAGGAAGGAAATGTTGCACTTGCACAAACAGTATTCCAAACTCTAAGCAGTAATATATGAAGAATACTCCTGTAGGCATTAGCATATGCAAATACAAAGCTCTCTCTTTCCACTACCATGGGGATTTATTTCTCTGTGTATTATAACAGACTACATAAGTTACTCCATTTATTTTATCAGAGCCGAGTCTCCAGTTTACAAAACCATTTCCTTGATACCTGCATGACCCCTGAGCCTGTCTGCACGCAGGATCAGCGTCTGCATGACTTACAATGCAAAAAAGAAGAAAGTCTTTTAAGGCTGCTGATGAGCACATCTTGGGACTTCAAAGACTGCCAAGATTAAGGAAACCAAGAACTAAACTAAAATCCCAAAGCATCTCCTCTTAAGTGCATAGTTGTACATTCAAATGGCCGATTCTGGCACCTCGTGTTTCCCACCGGGTCCCAGAAGCAGACCAGA